ATAATATATTCAAAACAATTATAAAATAAAAAAAAAAAAAAAAAAATTAAAGACAAAAAATTTGAATAGAAAAAAATCTTGTAAAAAGAATAAACAATCACATTAATGATTAGATTCATAGAATAAAGGTATAACGATAAAATAGAAGAATCATTTAGCGTAAGAGGGATCGAATATTTTGGCCTAATGCAAAAAAAGGAACGGCTCATTTGCCAAGCATTTCTTCGACGAGCGAATGCCCGAACACGCGTGGCCTCGTTCGATGGGGTCACGATATGGGGAGGGAAACATGGAAAACACGAGATGGCAGCACGTTACAACCGGACAAAATTTTTGGCATACTGCTTCAAATCTGCGCGTACCTTCATTCTTCAAAAATGCAAAATATAAAAAATACAACAATGTGTAAAATAATTAAAAATATGCTACACATATAAAATATACACTTATAAAATTGTGTGTATTAATTTCAATATAATTTGAGACCCGATCATTATTTGTATCATTTTATGAAATAATATTTTATTAATTAATAATCTATTTCGATTCTTTTAATAAATCATAAGCACATAAGAGAGATTGTGCATATATACCGATCGAGTTTTATATTTTTATTACTTATTATAATCGATTATGAAATAAAGAAGACAAGGAACAAATAAAGCATGAAACGCGCAATCCGCGAGTGAATGGTGGCGAATAATCGATGAGCGAGGTAGAACACGCGTTATTATGGTGGTAAACACGACGAGTAAACTACTAACTAGTCCGACTACGGTCGTTCGACCATTGTTGGACATCCCTTGTTTTGCAGAAATGAACGATACGCGTTTATTATCGCTAAACATGATTTTAATAAAATGGCGATATCGCTTGTGTGCGGATTTCCTACGGTAGCGTGCTGATACCGATAATGAGAATTCCGCGTGCTCTTTCACGACCTTAACTACGACCTGATAACAATTAATATGAATTCGATATTTTTTAAAGCTAATTATTAACTGCCGTGAGACTTTATATATAAATAAATTTTATCAAAAGAGCTTTGAAATATATATTAATTCATTTAAATAATTTAATTTTTCAGAAATCTCTATTAAAACAAAAACAATTTTCAAATTAATTGAAACAATTTTCATTCCACTTAGTTTGACCTATGGCTATAACAGCGTATATATTTTCCTAGCTTTCGTCCTTTTAATTCAGGAACCAGACATTTTCCTAAAACTTTTATTAAATAAAATTTTAATTATATTCACAGGAGAAATCGCTCGGATATATCAAAGGTTGATGAGTTGGAGCGTTTTCACACTCCATGATTAATTTTAATTTCATTGTATAAGTGCAATTAACGCATCATATTTCAACCGTATTGAAATTGGAATGACTGAAACCAAAGCGCTTGTATATTTTATTAATTTGTTCTGTATTACCGTTTCCTAGTGGATATGATAACCGTGAATAGTAGATCGATACTGCGATTCGCATGGCATACATGACCGAATAAATTATTTCTTCATCAAATAAAGCAAAGCTATGCCATCTACAAAGTTATCCCACGATTTCTTCGTGCAGAATGTCTATGTGATTCACAAACTTTTTATGTATATAAACTATAGCAATTATAAACATAACACAAATATATATTTAACATTTTATCATTACATATGCAACAGAATGTAAAATTAACTGTGATATAATCAAATTTTCTTTAATAAAAATAAAAATATAGTAATAACATATTACAAATAAAATAATTATTATTTTTTTCAACTATCAAAATCTCATAGAAGTGTGTATCGCATATGTCAAGGACAAGAATCTTCCATACAAAATAGGTTTAGGAAATATCGATTCTTCAGGTGGACAAATCTCAAAACATATAGAATATATTATACAACAAAAGAACACCGATAATTATGATCAGGCCATACATTCCATTTATTTCCTCGAACATATTTTGACATAAATAAAAGCTCTGAATATAAAACATCGCGGCCGGTCTGATTTATCGGCAATATCGACGAGCCGTCGAGCTATAGCTGCAGTAACGATAATATCAAGTATGCGTACGACGAATTCGACGTGTACACGTCGACGTACATCCGTCGTTTGGATGCGACGGATTTAGGCACATCGATAAATAACGCCGACAGGTGTGCGAGCACGTCGAAAAGCTCGCTCGCCCGCTCGTTGGCGCGAATGAGCCTTCCACGTCAGCGACCACGGACCGTAAATTAAGGTCAGAGCCAAGAGCGATGTAAGCGACAAACGTGCACGAGAGAAAGAGAGAAAGAGAGAGAGAGAGAGAGAGAGAGAGAGAGAGAGAAAGAGAGAGGAGAAGAAGAAGAAAGAGGAAGAGGAACGCAAACAGATATGCAAATCACGTACACGTTCGGCTGTTTACGTCTGTCGATTTGCTGTCAAAGCAACACGCCGGCGAAATAATCCAGCCACTCGGCAGCATGAGTTGATAGACAAACTTATCTTGCGAGTGAACTGCAGCTTAATGGAATGTTAATCTCTTAACTGCATGCGGTTTTTTAGAAAGTCACACTTCGCATCTTTCGTTCTTTAAATATAAATTGATGTGACCTAATAACACATGGCGTTAAAAAGTAGCCAGGTGCTATAATTTTGTACCGTTTGAAAAATCGTTACAGATGCTATCGAATAGCAGATAATTTTGTGCAAGTTAGTTGAAATGAATTCGCACTCTATAATATAATAGAAGTTAAGAAATTAAACCGTGGTTATATTGAAAATTGTAAATGACGTATGAAATTAATGAAAATGAAAGAAAACAGAAACATTCTCTTTAAACATTCTCTTTAAACATTCTCTAAAATTTCAAATATAATTTGTTTACTAATTTATTAAATCAATAATAATACATATCTCTTATTATTAATTAATTAAATATTTACTTAATTACCTCAGATTTGCATATATTTATCTTTCATTGATAACGACATATATTTTTATATCGATTGATTATTCTCTTGAGTATGATACTTTATTGATTTCATATATTGATTTCAAGAACGAAACAATCTACGAGAAAAATAAGGTGCGATATATTGCAGCATCATCGTAAAAAAAGTTTTAAAATTACACGAACGATAAGTTTACATTCCGCATCTGATTTTATATTCTGCAGCAATATGCGCGCGCTTTAAATATGATTATATGTGATTCCCTTTAATACTTCGGATCTGCTTTACATATAGAGCGTTAATCCACTTCTGACTTTTTTCTGCATTTTCTGATTAAGAGCATTTATCCCGGTATAAATGCAGATATTTTTCTCAGTGCAATATAGCGATAAGAAAAATGCGTCGAAAAATGAGAACACAAAATTTCCTTTTTTTTATTAAAAAAAAATAAAATAAAAATAGTAACTTTCTCTCTCTCTTTCTCTTTTTGTAGTATAATCGTAATAAAGCCCCGAAATTATGTAAGAACGTTACGATACAGAATCATATCATTGTGATAATAACGATGACATAATAATAACAGATGATAATAGCAATAATAACAATAATGCAATAATACGATGATAATAATAGTATCGCGTTAGACTAAGTTATATATATAATTCATATTCTAAATTTTCTTGCCGAGAGAGTAAAATATATTTCCACGAGCGACATGATGTTCCAGACACCGAGAGACGGTGACAAACAAGTGATCAACCCGGAGAGTAACGTGTATCATTTGACATATGTTTCAAGACGATATGATCGAATACACGCACATTTCTTGAACGCATTTAACTTGAACTCGTTTCGGGCTTTCCTTTAATCCGTGCAATGCCAAGATCGAAATTTACTCCGAATCATTAAAAAATCTCTTTGTTCGCTGGAACCACTTGCTCTATTAGACGGAATGTTCCGGAGAAGTCTATTCGTGTTAAAGAGAGAGAGAGAGAGAGAGAGAGAGAAATAATTCGTGAGATAAAAAATGCGATTATATTTCGAGTCGAAAGGTCGAGTATACGTAAAATTTCATAGACAAAAACTAGCGACGACGAAAGAGGCGACTCTCCTTCGCGGTGATCGAATTGGAGGTTAACCTGTCACTCGATGGCAGATCGATTTTACGGCGGTGGGAGGAGGGGAGAGTCGCAGACCGCCGTTCGTCGCGCGATTACGAACAAGCACGATATTATGTAATTTCTGGCACTCACCTTGTACGCTAATCGTGCGGACGTGCGGCCAACTCGGCACGATGGTCTCGATGCAGGTGTCCTCTCGTTCGCCCGCACAAGCGAGGATAGATGCGGAGATGGGCCGATGATTATAGAGAGAGGGAGGACGTGTCCGGGAGAAGAGACGAGGTCACACACTGTGGCAGCCACCGATACGACACGATTGTACACTTTCGTGAACGGCGCGAGATGATAGAATGAGAGAGAAAAGGAGAAAGAGAAAAAGAGAAGAAAAGAGAGAGAGAGAGAAAGAGGAAAATGTCAAACTTTATCACGAGTACAGCATGGTGCGTGACGGACTGCGTACGGCAACGATGACGGAAGAGAGAGAAATAGCAACGAGAACGAGAACGAGAACGACGAGAACGACGACGACACGGTTACACTCGCGCGACACCACCGACACCGACACTCGATGACGTCATACCACCGGCGGCAATATGGAGCCCGCCGACGTACGCGACGACGCGACACGACACGAACACTACAACGATAATTACGACGAAAGGTACACGCCGCGTTTCGACCGTTCGCTACTCGGCCGTAGCCGTGCTGTGCGCCGTCTATAACCTCAAAATCTCTAGCGTCCGTATGTCAAGAATGTGCGACAGCGGACGCGCCCCGTGCGCAACAGCGACGAGACACGAATCCGAACTGAAACGAAAGCCCAGCCGAGCGGCGCCGAACCGGCCCGAAGTTGTCGCCGCTCGCCGCCGCGCGCCGCGCGCTCCCATTGGTCAAACGTCCTCCCCACTAGGGACTGTTTATTCGGCCGCTCCGCTGCCGCTCTAGTCGCACGAGCGTAGTCATTCCATTGAACAACGCGGATGAATTGTGTGATCCGACGATGTAGAATGTCGTGTCATAACCTCTTCGCTCGCTCGCGGATCGTATGTTAATTGATTTCGTTCGATCGCGCGTGAAACAACGGCCATTTCGGTGTCGTCGACTCGTGGTTTGAATGGATATGCTTTTGCGCGATCACTCAATTGCGCCTAGTTTCACGAATCAATTCTCGAAAGTGTACTTCCGGTATCACAGTCTTTGGAGTCTTTGACGATTTTCGATCGTTTAATCCGTTTCTCGTCGACGTGGAGAAGAATTGCAGGTAGGTTAGGAAGAATTACTTACGTAAATAGGTACGGAAATGATAAGCGGTAATTTAGATAGTGTGAATGTTTTAAAGTGACTGAAACTTTGCTCGATTCGGAATATATAGTGTGTCTCAAAAAGTCTTCGCGCGATTTTTTAGTCATTTAATACAATTTTACATGAGATTTTTGTTTAGTAACATCAAAATAAAAATCCTTGATTATTAAAAATCTAAGTATTATGAAAAAATATTCTATTAAAATTTATTCAAAATTAGAAAAGTGAAAATCGGTGACTCAGAATGCATATTTGATTTTATATAAAAAGCGATTTTAAATCGATCAAATAGAATTTGTGAGGCCTCTATATATATTCTGAAAAAAACTATTATATTTTATTGATTAAAAACGCTTATTTATATTATCACTTAAAAAAAAATTTATTTCCAGAATTGGAGTAAATCAAGATGACCCCATCACCTTACGTCTCTCGAATAAATCAAATCGACGCTGCTCAATTAGACACGGAGATTTATAAAGTACTGAAGAATCAAACAAAGGAAATTACGAGATACAGCGCGCCTGGCAAGGTCGACAAATGGCAGGCGGAGGTAGACGTTCTCTTGAAACTTCTCATCTGGAAATTCTCGCTGCAACGAGGATCCTCCACATTCGGTCAACGACTCCTCAATCTGCACTACAGTAACATCAATCAGAAGAAAGCTGTACTTTATTTAATTTTCAGCGTTCTACCTCAATATCTGAAAGACAAATTAGCCAATGAGAATTTATCGGATCGTGGCGTACTCGCCCAAATTCTAAAGTCATTCGTCGATTGGACATCGAACGCTGTTAGTCTGCTGGAGCTGATCAATCTGCTCTATTTTCTTCACCGAGGCGTACAATCGCGCGTAATAGAATTTCTACTAAATCTGTCAAGTCAGCCGATAACGACGCATCGACCCAGAACAATCGGCTACTCGTACATGACGAGGGAACTCTTGTGGCACGGTCTGATGGAGCTCTTCACCATCGGCATACCCATGATCAACTTCCATTACCTGAAGCATGCGGTAATGCGACTCTGGCGACGAGCAGAACCGCCGATGAGGCAATCGTTCCCGGTGATGGACACCGCGACCAAATGCGTTTATTGCGAGGAGAATCCGATCTTGCCATCGCACGCCGGCTGCGCACACATCTTCTGTTACTACTGCCTGCAAGCGCACTTTACCGCGATGAATGTGTTCCACTGTCCTAGCTGTAATATCGAGCTCCATGTCGAAGATATGAAGAGATTTACGCTCATGAGTGCGCCATCGAGCGACGACGAAGAGTCAGACGATAGTTTTGAGAGAGTGGACAATGGATAACGCGTGAACGTATGTATATTTTTAATTTTATCCATAATTAAAGTAAATCGATTATCGTGAAGTGACGGATACAAATTGTGGTGCCTTTATTTTCAATCTACATAAACAGTGACTCTGTCGAAAACACTATTATTAAAATAAATTTAAAAAATATTTATTTGTTTAATGGGGAAGGTAGGTTATGGAATTAAGCGAGTTTTGTAGGAGGAGAGTCGTCGCAAAGTACAACGATTAGAATAAGTACAAATGATTTTTTCATTATTATAATATCAGAATTAATTAATTACATAAATTCTACAAAAAATAAAATATAAAGAAATGAAAAAAAATTCACCTCTCTCTCTCTCTCTCTAATCATCGATTTATTATGGGACATGGCAAAAGGTTAAGTGTATGATATTAATATTTTTTTATTAAAAATAACAATACAAAATCTTCTTTATTTTTTTCATTTTAATACAGCGAATCCTTAGTTTCCTGATGTTTTTCTCCTTCTTTCCGAAACAAATAATAGTAGATCAGTATATGCTCTCTTTTGGCTCTTATCAAAAATTATACTAGATGATTATATAAAAATTTTATGCTGCCGCTGTATATTATAAAACGCTTGATTTTCCGCCGCGCAGGTCGATGAATCGATCATTTACATGCGATAATGATACGTTCATCGATTAATTTAACATTTAGCTGCTGCACCTGCGCTCGATGGGCGGGTATGTCCCCGGACTTATTACATGAGAAACGATATATATTATAAGCACTAGAGCACAGAAAGGAAAACGCGAAACACATACACATAAATTAACACTTTTCATTTGCCTCTCTTATACGACGTTACAAATATTTCACTCGAGTTTAAACTCTTATCTTGTTTTGGAATGTGTGATTTATAATACAATTGTATATATAATACGAATTTCTTCGTTTAACGGGAAATCTCTTCTCGCAATGATATTTAATTGCTATTTGTGCTTATAAAAAATATCCACGTCTACATTCACGCAAGTCTACTCTATTCTAATACTAATCTTACATCGCGACCGAGTTTGCCCGAAAAAAAATACGGCAATTGGAAAATATCATTTATTCTTAAATTATGAAATTTTATTTTTCTACTTTTCATATCGCGCGTTCCTTTTTTTAAATGTAGTAATTTATAGTAATGTCTTCTTTAAAATAAAAAGTTTTCAATCTAGAAATCTATATATTTTCTTTCAAAGTTTTGCTGTTATTTTGTTATTTGTATGCTCTTTTTCGGGCAAACTCCTTAATTATTCTCCGCATTCCTTATCAACACTTTGATAACACAATACTAAAATATTCTATATGTCCTTTCTATATCGAGGAGTTTACGATGTCGAAGTTTGCTGCAAAACAAAATTCTCGATGTTTGAAGCAGAAAAAGAGAACGTAATAGTGCGAGGCATTCATTTTATCAATATATGGGAATGATTGGCGCATGATCGTCATTATATAACTGCTGAATTAAGATATTTTAATTAAGAGATCGGCATTTGATATTATCTCAAAGCGCGTTTGAGTATCACAATTTTTCAAATTTATCTCCTTCAGATGTATTGATGAGAGATAAGATGATTTACTATGAGTAAAATTAAAAGATTCGATGCAATCAGTCATCTTTTTAAAAACTCGGGAAAATTTATCTTAAATTTGCGAAAATACAATTAAAATTATAATTTATTGGAATAAAAATAAGTTTAATTCCAATAAATCGATTTAATTATTTAATTTCAATACATTTGAAATATAAATATCAATTAAATTAGATTTAATTTTAATTTTATTTTCGCAATTTTGTAATAAATTTTTACAAATTTTTAAAAAGAATTTTTATATTAAATTATTAAATTTTATGATCGAAGAATGCTTTCGAATGAGCAATATATGAGCAATCTCAAATCTATTGTTAAAACGAAGAGAAATCATTGCTCAAAGATATGGACTTGAAATCCTCGCGAAATTCTCAGAGAAAGTCTATAATTTTTTAAATCCTTATATATATATACATATTTATATATCATTTTTCATGGAACTTTAGAAACCAAGAAAATGGAAGTCATCGGAGACATTGAAAACTAAAATGGATCACGTCTATAATTCATAAGTTTCACTTCAATCATCAAGAATAGTATCTAAAAGATGAATCTTACAAATTATAATCTTAATTCATTTCTAGCTTTGAACGACTTATATAAATCGATTAAACTGTATGTATATAAAGTTCGATAAATTAGGTAGGAAAGAATGAGTCCAACAATTTGCTATGATGAAACAATATTAATAATGCATAATATTTTCTCTACCCCGTTCTCGACGCAAAAAACATGAAAAAATATATATACTCACGATATACGCTATACAATAGATACACAATTTGAGAAAAATTTACAACGCATTTCTCACAAACGTAACGGAATTCAGGTCGCATAATTTCGCGAGCGAGGTCGATCGCAATTAATTATATGCTTTAACATTCTGAATTGATCTTGTTTGTTTTCGAGAGAGAAAGAGAAATCTGTCATGTTATTTTCCAAGGATGTAAAATGTGTCAGGTGAGTAGAAACTAAAAGAAAAAAGTAGAGAAATAGCAGTTATACAATTTTTGGAAGTGTTTAGATATGTGTGTTTTTCTTCTCTTCCCGGCGTAATTGATTCTTATTATAATCAAGCGATTGTTCATAATCTTTCCCTCCTTATTTTTCCTCGCATGCGCGTTTCCTTTTCTTTTAATGCTAATTTTCGCGACTATATACCTATATATATTACCCGTATATGTTAGATCTTGCACATGATCAGTACACATTTACATAGGAACATTGACGGCTTTCTTCTCAGGACTAAGAAAAGAAATTGATTTCTGGTCGGCAGAGACGATCTCGTTATACGTTATATACAGATTTACTATGAATTTTATACTTTCGCAAAGACAATAAACAAGCGCAAAAAATTAGAAAGAATAGAATTTATAGAAAAATCTGATTTTTTCATTATTCTTCTTTTACTTTGCAATTTCTACCTTTGCGACATATTATAAAAAAATAAATCTGATTTAATTTTAATTACGCGTCTTATTTCAATTTGGAGAAATTATCCTCTTTTGGGGAAATATTCCTTCTCTTTTTCAAATTCTTAGAACTCGAAACATCTAGTGTGAAAGATGAAATACGAACGACTTTCGAACGAAAATTTTTTAAGCTCTCTTGTGCTGCTTCGTTGAGTCACGATTATGCATACATTTTATCTGCGTACATTTTATCCGCAGCGACAGTAAATATACGATTCTCGTTCGATTGCGCACTTCATACAAGATCTCGTTTCTCTCAGTTATTATTTTGACGAAATATCCTGCACCGACTCAGAATATTTTAGAACAACAATCGGTATCGCAATTTGTTGCTGCCGCAAAAATATTATATCTATTCTCCTACGAAGATGAAAATGATACATTGGAGCATGGAGCAGTGTAATAATTACAAATGCAATTGGATAAAGGTGATATGCAGCATTTAAACACAACTAACAATAAAAATTCAAAATTCTCTCACAGAGATGATTTTAAAATATTCGAAATTTTTCTAATGCTCTTTACAGCTCTACTAAATGTTTTTCAAAATTTTTTATTCTTAATTAAGATTGAATTAATAATAGTTGTGAAATGTCTAACATGAATTAAATCTATTAAAAAATTACGCTGTCACTAATTAATTGTAGTGTTCTAAAGCTATATCAATAATGAAAGTAATTTTTCATCTGAGAAGAATTTAAAATAAAGATTTCAAATTTTTGTAGCAAAATAGAATCTTATTTTTAAATTCTAAATTTTAAAAATTGTTTTATTATAAAGTATTTAACTATAACATAAGATTTCTATAGATATTAAAGATTTATCATTTTCCTAAGCACAATATTCTTATTAGCATCATCATAATTATTTTACGTATTTTATCTACATGCAAACTTATTCAATTTTATTAGAATATAATATATCACCTTCATCCATGCATCCTTGCAATTGTTATTATATAAACCTCCTAACAATCGAATTGTACGATCGTACCGGAAGAAACTTTCTATCTTAGACCATCATCGTTATCATTATTGTTGTATCATTAAACAAAAAAAAAAGAAAACGAGAAACAGACAATAGAACCGAACAGTCTAATATTATATCACACGTATTGCGCAAATAATTCTTACTAACTTATTTTTTTTAACGTTCCGATCTAACTCGCAAGCGCATAAATCATTTACGCTTAAAAAGATTTCGCAAAAGACTTAGTCAAGAACTCTTCGCAGTAAAATCGTTCGTTAGGCATGTTCAATCGGATCGATCGAGTGATCCTGCCTTCTCTATTCCGACTTTTCGACTTCACGAGAGAACCAGGCGATTTTCCCCTCCTCTGCAAATCAAGTAAAAATTATACTTTTTTCGTTAGATTTGGAGTATCAGCTCGATGTGGGTAACGCGTTATATTTAATAATGCGCGTGACTCAACAACTTATTTACCTAACGCTTTCATTCCTTTGTTCAAAAAAAATTAACAAAAATTACGCTTAAAAATTTGAATAAATTATATTGAAAACAAATTATATCTTATATGTCTATAAAACGATCATTTTGCGAAATCGACTGCAATCGACAGAGCTTTCTGCGTGCGAGGATAATCGGAAAAAATCTAAACTTGGCAATCATTTTTAAATTCTATATAAACCGTAAAACGTATATATTTTATTTAAATATTATTATTGTTATTAAATTTTATTATAAATATCATAGAAAAATTACAAAGAGTGTTTTGCATTTCATTTCACGTTGCACGAATTTATAGGTTTTTATAGGTATTTATATTAATATTTTATAGGTATTTATATTAATATTTTATAGGAATTTATAGGTATTTATATATTTTATATATATTTTTATATATTATATAGTTTTTATATGCATAATTCTTCACTATTAATTGTGTATCGTTCTCTTGATTTTGCCAAGTTTAGAGCTAGTTTAACGCTAGTTTAGCGCTAGTTTAGAGCTAATTAACGAAAGTTCCCTAATTAACACAACGATTGTCATCGCGAATTGAATACTTAGCTATCGATATCTTTTTTCAATCAGCTCCTCGAAAAGTATCGTTTGTGGTACGCGGAGAGTAATTCGCGGAATATTTTTCGCTATATAGAATTTATTTTATATTATTATATATCTTCTTTTTCAATACACGCTTTACACGAAAAGTTCTTGCGGCCTATTCTTTGACGTGCGTCCAGCGTGTTTCGCGAAATAATTAATAAATATTTTGTAACTTATATATATATACTTGCTTCGTATAAAACTCGAAATTGCAACCGTGTGAATCTATTATAAATCGCATTTAATTATTGCGCAATGTCGAATCGTTCATTAATGCTGGTCGATTAACAAAATTTTGAAATTTAAATTAACATGTTAATCAACGTATTGACCAACATATTGATCAACATATTGAACACATACGATCACATATTCGAGCTTAGTCTGAATTAAAGGTATGTGTGAATTTTTGCTAGGACGAAAATTCGCTGAACACACGGGACATCCCTCGCCCATCGCATTTCATTCTAAGTTCCTGAACTGTAATAATTCTTCCTAATTTGTTTAGATTTCATTCAAAACATCTATACCCACTTCACATTTCACATACTCGCTATACACTTATACATGCATTCACTCGCAGTTACCAATCATCCGTTCATCAAGCGAATCATCATATGATATAACGAGTGGAACGCGCACTTCATTTCGCGAACATTATAAATGTAATTTATTTGATGGCTTTTTTGCCAGCAACTGGCACGCTTATTTAGAAACGTTAATTTAAATCGCGGAATCAATATAAGATTCGATAAATATTCGAAATAATTCGACTTTAGCAAGATGAAATAATAATGACGCATCCATCGTGATCGGATAATTGTGTAACAAACGAAGACAGCGAAAATATTAACGACTATCCTAGATCCTAAGGCACCTTTTGGGCGCGCGCCGAGAACGGCGAAAAAAAAATGAGGAAAAAAAAGAATACAGCCAGTTCCCGGCCACAAAAATAACTTCCTAATTACTTTTTCGATACTTAAGTAGCTTCAAATCAATAAACCGTTTGACATACAAACCGTTTGACTATCGATCTCGCATTTGTCTATTTGCGGTACAGATAACCAAATAGTCCTTTCGGTTTTCATCAATCTCGTTCGTTCCCTCCGATATAACGGCGTAACGTTACTCGTAATTATGCGCGTCCGCGCATGGTTAGAATTAATAAGTACTTATTATTTTGACCGACACGCGGCATCTCCAATCGGTTTCGAGAACGTTGATACGCCGTTTGGAACGAATAGCGATCAGTATTTTTTTACCATTTAGTATCCAGGTTGCACTTATCTGTCGATGCCGACAACGTGGACGCCTTTCGTTCGGCGCCAGGCGCGGCGCTCCCAGAGAACGGACTCGTTCGTTTGTTCATATCTAAGACATGAGAACGAAATTATTAATAATAAATAAAAGAAAAATTTTAAATCATTGCAGACTGCACTATCTATTTTATTTTATTTTATTTTACTATCCTATAACAGAATAAAATAAAATAGAGAGAAAAAAAAGAAAAAGAGAGAGAGAGAGAGAGAATGAATTTTTCACATGCAACATACCAGATATTAATAGCAATATTTTGCGTCTCGCACCCCATGCAGTAATCCCGATTTCGCAGAGATCTTTCTCTGTCAGAGAATGAAATGTAGACATGTCCACTTCGTGAGACGTGAACAGGCCTTAACAAATGAAAAAAAGCTATTTCGATTTTTTTATGCAAAAGCAAGAAGCAGTGCAAGCAAAAGAATAGGAGCATTTGATAGGCAATGTACATTTTATAATATGATTGTGATTCGTCAATACTCACGTATATATTTTTCCAAGCCGATGCTGGCTAACATGGTAGCCAAATCATTGAAACGATGCGACGACGTGATTTTGTTTAATTGGGAAGTCGATGTGTGATCTATATAATTTGAGGCCATCCCTATTTGTCCAACGCGATCTTTGCTCGAGATAATATTACCGAAATCCATCTCGGTATTGAATACCGGTGTGGTCGGTTCTTTCCACAAGTCTGAAGGATGTGACGTCAGCTCCTGCAGAAAAAACTGATGTGTCATTATCTCAATACGATTATTTGCTAATAAATATTTCAATATTTAATTCGTCTCGTAATAAATTATTACAAGCTTTATTAATTATTTTTAAAACAATTTTTATAGCACTTTTTAAGCCAAGATTTAATATCGAAAAATATTGACACGAACTTTGATAGATTTAGATAAATAATTTAATCTTTATTAATATTGATTTAATTGCTTTGAAATCGAGGAAACTTGTAGTTACCTTGCTTAAGTCACTTGTAGTTATAGGCGGAATACTCTGGCTGAGGCCATAACCAGACCACGCGGACGTCGGTACGCGAAAGTCGTTGTTACTCGACTTGTTTTGCACCGCCTTCGTGGCTAATAGCTTCTTTTGTTCATAATCGAAAGGGGTTAGATGTTGCTGTGCAGCTATCTCCAGTGATTTTTTCTCGCAACCAGGTGCACGTCGATCGGAGACCGGTATTTCGGATAACATGCTGGATATATCCGCTGAAATAACAATGAAAGTTTATTATTACTTTCAAATGAGAGAGATTGTTGATAAGCTAAGGATTTTCCTGAAATATTTCACTTACGTAAATTAGAATTAGTATCCGTAGGGTTGACTGGTGAAACATTCCGAGGACTGATAGCAGGACTTGATAGAGAGCTAGAGACGCTACTTAGCGAGGAATAAGCTGAAAACGAGTTCATAAAAATTTAAGTCGATAAAAATCTAAATAAAAATCAATTTTAATTATGTTGTAATTATTTATATCATAATAATACACGGACGTTTATGACACAGAAATAATATTAGAATCATAAATTTTTAGCATTAAATTACATAACTGTAAAAAGTTGTCATAAAAATACTTCTCAGGAAAATACGTGATGTAACGAAAGTGAAAGTTGAAAAGTGAAGGAAATTGAAATTTTTATGGAATATTGGTGAAAAAATTGAAATTAGTGAATGTAGAATAAATCGAAGACTGATTACTTACCACTGCCACCTTCTTTACTATCCGTCAAATTAGCGTTGAGACCGTGGATATTAGAAAAATTGCTCGATACACTATTAGAGTGATAAGTTCCAATACCAGGAGGTAACATATGATTCGATAATCCATGAGAAGTTCCCATTATATTGTTGTGCAACATGTGCTGCGTTGTCAGCAAGTGGTTCAAATGAGGGTAAGGAGAATACGCACACATGGATGGAACATAATGTGCAGCAAGGCCCCAGTGCGACGATAGTCCCATGGAATTCGGCGAGTGCGGAATTGGCGACATGCAATACGATGGATTTTGCGTGTTTACATTCAACATGCTCGAAAAATTATCTGTCACATTATTGATCATATTGTTGTTGTTGCCTAGTCAAAAAAAGAAAACAAAAAAAGAAAGAATTAAGATAATGGCGTTGATAATTATCTCTCTCTAAATAATTTTTTAATTGATAAGTAATACGAAATTTATTTTCGTCAAACTATGATAATTATGAAAATATATAAAAATTATAGATACAAGATAATTTTACTCTGAAATGAATATATTGAAATTTTTATTGGATTGAATTGTAAACTTCAGGGTACATCTAAAACTGTGTTAGAATCATCTAAAACTCTTACTTAGATAGAACGTTTTGATTATCTGTATCTATTATTCTGATTCCAAGTGATTTTAATAGAGGACACTTACTGATATCGTTACTATTATTACTTTGGAAAATACTGCCGGCGTTCGGAATGTGATATGTAGCCGGTATCTCGGCATGAACTCTGGGTTCGTCCAGTCCCAACAGTTGTTTTCGCGCTTCGTAAATATTACCGGCATTTCTCTCAATCCCCTTAATAATCACGGAAAGCGTGCTTTGTTTCGGCTTATGCCGAACGTTGATAAACACATCTAAAGATTGCATAAGTTGAGAGATCTTTTCAGTGTCTACGGTAGCGGATATAGAATCCTCCGGTAGGTCAAACATGAGTACTAATGGTAATGATCCCTGTAAAAATATATTGTAATGTTATTTTTTTTTCATTTATTCGCAGAAAGAACCAAATCGTAGAGATACTATACGTAATATATACACAATCTTTCGCGAAACATCAAGTATATTTATTTATTTAGGAGTTTTAAATCAGTAATTATTTTATAAAATCTAAAAAGAAATAATTTAAAATTGCAATATAGAATATAAAGTTAGAAAAATTAGCTTTTAATAAAATTTTTAGAAAAAAATAAATTCATGTATAATTTTAATATTGAGGAAAACGAAAATATAAAAATTGGGATTAATTATAAAATCTCGAATGTGTAAATTTATTTGCTTACCACTAATTGTTGCCGAGCCAAGTAAACATTATGAATAGCGCCAGTAATTGTGACATTGCTTTTTTTGAGACTGGGTATATTCGGATCGCCAGCATCGGGAAACATAATTTGCGTGGCGGTACGCTGCATTATCATTTTCAAATTGCTGCTCTGTTTCCCTAGCACGATGCTATGATGTTGGGGTGAGATCTCCATCGACATTTGTACTTGGATTTGACTCTACGAAAAATAATTTTTGAAAATGTAACGAAGAAAAACTTTTATGATTTTTTCCATATTAATTTAGCGATATTAAAAAAAATAAAAATTAAAAGAAGTGACAAAATAAATTGACATAAATTTAAAAATATTTAAAGAGAGTTAAATGCAGAACAATGATAAAACAAAATGCTTTCATGCTTTTTTAAAAAATTGAGGAAATCCTAAGAATTTAATTTTTTCAATGTTAAGATTGATTTCCCCAAATCCTTAGGAGAAAACAAATTAAACTCTTTCGATCATTTTTACTACTCACAGCTAGATTTTTACACATATAACGGATTAACAGAACTGTCGCCTCCTTGACTTGAGAAACCTCCCATTCACATCCCTTAACGACCACTTGGGTGGCGTGTAGCTTCGGTCTCGTGCGAAACATCACTTGCACATTGTACTTCTCCTGTATCTTTACGACGTAGGGTGAACTGCAGTCTGGCGTATTTTGCGATGCACCCATTATAGGCAATTCGAACGAAAAGATCAGAGGTGTCAGATTCTAACATATGAAAATGAAAATATGAGTCAATATTTTATTACAAACATTCTTTTTTAAAGTGGGCATTCAAAAAATGAACGAACAGCGAATGTAAATTTTTATTGTTAAAATTCGGAAGATGTTTATAAAAGACAAACAAAAGCATATTATTTATTAAGTCCGCTGTAAATGATTTATAATTCGCAGCAAAATTTTCGAGAAAATTTAAAATTCTGCTTATTATTTTCTTATGCATTCTATGATACAGAAAACATGTGAAATATAACATAAGTATAAGAATATATACATATATTGGATGTACGATACATAAAATTATATTATAAATAAAATTCTACTTTGAATTTTGTTGCAAATTTTGTAGATAATTTAAAGAATGGATTTTACAGAATATTTGTTCGTTCATTCATTAATGCTGTTTGTTAGTCGTTGCTAACCCACTTCTATAAAAGTTTCTCCCAAAAATCTTTATTTTTTATTCTCAAAATTATTTTTTTACATAACATAAATACAATATTTAATGTAACATTATATGTCTTGGTATTATGACACACAAACATACCGAAATAAAAGTTCTCAAGTTTCTCAATTAATGTATGTAACATAAATTAACATAAATTAACTGAGAAAAAGATTCTTTTGGATTTTGAAAAAAGAATTTCTTCTATATTCATTATAATTGCAACCGGTATTATATTATACAAAGTATATAACTTTCTTCTGAAACATCTTATTGTTAGATATCATAAGCAAGATAACTTACCCTAACACGTGCGCGGGCACGTTCAACGCTCTCCATCTCACCAGCGATAGAGACTTGATTGCTCTTATCCTGGTGATTGCTACGGTTACTATCTGGGAAATGGATATGACAGCTAGTTTCCTCCATCACTCGCTTAATCGTCAGACCACCCTTGCCGATGATATGTGAATGGTCAGTGTAACTAACGTCCAACTTCATGGTCACTCTGTTACTTTGCTAAAAGACAAATTGTAAGAGATTAATCGTCTGTTTCCAAATGTAATATATTATTATTATTATTAATTCTATCGTATTATTAATTATCTTTATCGTTGATTGTAATCTGTTGATTTCAATTCACTAACTTTATTGATGATTAAATATTCTTGGCCCAGTTGTTATAAAAAATTATATTACTTTAATAAATTAAATTTACTAATTCGGGAAAATAAAATTCTTCTTGTATGTTCTTAATTAAAAATATACATAAATATATTTAAATATACTTTAACACAAAACAAAAATTATAATACTTTAACATGAAACAAAAATATCAATAATGATGATCTCTGAGAAAATTGTCAATGAAAGTGATATAGATAAAATTTTTGATAATAAATTTATATCGAGGATTAATATATCTTTATGTGTGTAATGAAATTGAAATGAAATAAATTTTATATTAACGAGTGATCGATAAAATCTTCGCAAAGAAAAAATTAATTTTCAAAATAAATTATTATTGATAGAAAGTACGCATTTTCTGATAGCATTCTTTTATATTGTATTTATTCAGCTTATTCGGCCATTGATATGCGCATTGCGTTTTGTATTAATTTCGAGATCGTTGACTCTCCATGCGTGAGCTTCTCGAAGCGTATCGTGCGCCGGAGATTTGCCGCGAAATGACTTATGTGCGCGTGATTTTAAATATCACGTGGCCGAGCATTACATAAAGTCACGCGATTACGTCGCATGATCTGCCGTCGTGCAATTTGTAAAACTTCTTCCTCACCATACAATATTTCTTCTACGAAAGATATCCAGAATATCTCAAAATATCTGGTATTTATTGTATAGTAGTAAAATTGTAATATTTCTATACATATATAAAAATATTTATTTTTTTTTACAATAGGATACCAACTATCAAATTTCTCTTTGCGAAAAAATAATAAGATGGTGCTAACAAATCTGATGAAGATCCTTTGACAAAACTTTGTCGATCAAAAAATTCATGTATAACTCAGGCAAAATTCATGAATTCAAAGAGAGAGAGAGAGAGAGAGAGAGAGAATTATTCTAAAAATTTCTAAAAAATGTGTGTTTATGCGTAAATAGTGGAGGATATGTTAATAAATATATTAACTTTGATAACGATTTTAAAATTTAATAATAAAAGTTCACACGACCGTCTATCTATTTTTTTTTTCATTTTATACATGATATTTCATATATTCAGCAAATTTTGAGGACGTAATCAGATGATGCGATCACAAAATTCAGAACATTGGCATCTTACCTCAACTCGGAAAGACATTGAATGCACACACGTGTTCTTTATAAATAATAACATGCTATTTACACGCCATTCGCGATCCATAATTAGCGCTATGTATATAGTGTCACTGTCTCGCTGTTTTTGCACGTTTTACGCAAAGCTTAGCATCTATTTTAAAATACATAGAACCATGTGTGCGATGCGGGAGAAAAGCGACTCAAGCGAACCGTAAAGAAAAGGATTCTTGTGTCTGAAAACCGAAAGTGGAATTTTATCTTTGTTTCTCAGAGGGAATACGTTCCTTTCATCGGTATCTTTCTCATGATGTTTCTTTGTATATTCTCTGGAATGCGCACACGTCGGAATGCACGTTAACGAGGAATGCAAAGTAACAGGAATTGATCGGTATGACCAGCAAAAAGCGACAAGTCCGGCGATTTAACGGTAACGAAAAGAGGTCTCGTCGCATCGCTTCTTACAAGCTTTTTTAACCGGGAGGGAATACGTGGATACGACACGAACAACAAGCAGTGATCCAAGTCGCTTTTCGCAAAACTTTAAGAAATTAATTAAAAAATTGCAAAATTTAAGTTTTCTTAAAATTAATGCAATCTAATTCTAATTATTTATACATTAATGTAAATCATAAATTTTTCACTCAATTTAATTTAAACTCGAATTTTTTCACTTTCAAGATTTTATTTCTTCGAGTTTTTAAGAAAGTGAGCACGTTAGATATCTAATCAAGATGCTTACGCTCTCATTAGTAGTTTTGCAATGGTCTTTAGTCTCTTTCGCTCTCTTTCTCTTTGATGCTCGCCTAAACGTCCGACGATTCGCTTTCTCGTTTCAAAATTCGTGACCGCGAACGTATAAATAGAAAACATTCTTCCTGCATGTTCTCCTTCCTTCTCGCTACCGCTTGTTACTCCCGACCTTTCTTACTTGCGACACGTGTCTGATAATTAAGCAGAAACGTGCATAAAAAAACACGGAGAAAAAACTATAAAAAAGCAAGCCGAAGAAGCCGGTTTGAAAGTCTAACGACCCGATGCGATAAGAACTTGTCGAATTAAATATCGGCAGCTGCTGATTCCACTTGTATCAGATAAATATAGATGATTTATTAATTATTAATATTTTTCTTATTATTCATATGTTAAGCATGAAGATGTTTTATAGAAAACTTGTTTGTTTTTTGCCTCCGGCATCTTTTATAACAGATATAAATATATTCTTATATTCGTAAGACTTATATAAATTACACAGAATACTTGGATAACTTTTCTGATTCGTTATCATAAATATTTTTTGTTTTATGAATGATATATTCTGATTATAAATTATATTAAGTATCATACCAAATATTTTCGACATTTAGTTATATAAAAATTCATCTACTTTTTTAATTTTCCAAATTGCTCACAATATTTAATATCGTACTTTGACTCTCTAAAACATATCATAGAGTTGAATTGAAAAAGTTTATATTGATTTTTATTGCTTTTTTATGTGTTTTACTTTTCAATTATTCCAATTTTATTCATATGAATGTGAATTGAATAAAATTGGAATAATTGAAAAAGGGAAACACATTTGTAGTTTTCTTATTCCATGTCATGTGAGTAATCATATTTGCCGCATCCTTCAATCATGATAATAAAATTAATAAGCATTTTGCATTTGATCGCGAGGCGGAAGATTTTACCAAATGAAGCAATGTTGTATTGAAATTAGTAAGGAAAGGCTCGAAAATTATCCGATATTTGCAGTTTCAATATTTGAAGAATTTCCGCTGACATATTTTTTCGAAGGGATTCTATTTCTCCGACCAAACGGCAAAACATTCATTGTCAATAGCATTATTCGGTTGCGTTATGCATTTTGATTACTGATTGCATACTAATGCACTCATTATGCATAACATTATGCATAAATAATAATCTGACGTATGCATCTTAATTCTTATCGATCTTGTCAAAAAGGAATACTTACCCGTGTGTCCAAAACTTCCATTATCTTCTCTTTCGCTGCTCGTACGTCATCTAATCGTCCTGCGACTTTTATATGCGGATCTGCAAAAAAGAGGCAGAAGGTTGAATTGCAGTGATGATTGCGTGGGAGTATAAAAAGGTGATGACAAATCGCTTCATTATACATTCAATTATAATTGTCCTCGTTAGTTATAAATTCTATTCCATAACTGGAAAAAAATAGATGATAAATCAAAAATAATATATCTCTTTGACGTAACAAAAGTATTTTCGATTTTTAAAAAATGCAAAGCAAATTCTTAAAAGAACATTTTTATACTTTCATATATTTTTTATTTATATTTTTCAAAGTAATTAATATAAGAGAAAGGAAAAGGAAACCTCAAATAATTTTAGTTTTAAAGATTAAGATTATCAATAAAATTTTATCGACGATATTCACCGATACTGTTTCACTCAAACCGAGTTTCTAATCAGGCAAATAATGAGTTCGTCGTCTTTACGATGGAATGACTCTTATGCATATACAACGCGTTCCAAGAAAAAATTTTTCAACTCGTAACAACCGATATTAGTAGACAGAAGTTAAATATATCGATAATATATTATCATCAATATATACATATTTATCGATGATAATATATTATTATCAATATCAATTATCGAAAATATTTAGTTTGTTACAAGTTAAATTTTTCCTTGAAATGCGTGTATATATATATATATATATATATATATATATATATATATATATAGAGAGAGAGAGAGAGAGAGAGAGAGAGAGAGAATAATTCCATCGTAAAGACGACGAACTCATTACTTACCTGATTAGATGTGCAGCAATGACTCCATCAGCACATGTACCAAAATAACGCTAATACTAATTCAATAAAAATAATGATTTTTATATGTCAACAACAAGTTAGTGAATTTCTGTCGATAGATATGCATATTGTCAAATTTGATATCATCAAAATTACATCGACGAGATCTTTTTTCGTTAACATAAATTTAAAATTCTAAAAAATTATAATACGTAGAATTACGAAAATAATACGATGTTAAGAAAGATAAAGATCTTTCGAAGTCACTTTTAGTATTCGTGACGCGCTTCTTCCTGAATACAAGACCTTCGACTGTATACGTATTCCAAAGTCGAGTGCTATGATGGGTCATGAACTGCATAATGATGCGTACATACGTTTCGCTCGTTGTTCGTTTCTTATCTCTCATATATACGATTTAATAATTTATCTATTGATTGAAAATTAAGTATTAATTATTAACATGAATAAGCAATATGTATAAAATAGAAAATAATTCTTAAACATGTTACGTTTATGTGAAATACGTGACTGTGCTGTGTTAATAGAAGGAGTGGAATTTTTTTTAACGAATTTTCCCACACAAGTAATTATGCATTTATTTAATAATAAATATTAGAGATTTTTCACGAAATAATAAAATGTTAATCTTGAGTTAATATTAAGGATAGATTTATTCGAATAAAAATTAAATTGAGTGTTTAATTATCAAGCTATCACTATTAAATTTGTGAAATTTTTTAAAATTGGCAATTATGAAGTTTCGATTGAATAAATTCATTAACAAAAAATTTCCCTCTAGAATAAAATATATTATAAAAACTTTTCAAAACGATATCACATTGCTTCATTAATATTTTTACATCATAACATTTGCCTTTAATCTTTTCTTTCTCTCTTTCTATCTCTTTTTTTCTTTTGGGTAATAATTATGTAAGAGACAAGGAAAACAACACAATATATTATGTACTGCTGTTTTAAAAATCGGAGCGCGATTTTCTTTTCGATCATAAACGCTTAGGTGGCTCTTGAAAATGCTACGTAAGAGCGATCATCTATCACTTCTCGCGGCTATTCGGATTATTTTTAGAACCGACGCGACGGTAGCGGATTCTTCGGCGCAAGACTTTAAGGCCTGACCTGACCTCTTTAGCTATGTCGCGCATAGAAAATCGACGAGTCCCCTGTTTGTACAAGCGATAAGAAGTTGTCGTTGCAATAACAAGAAGTGCAGGAGGTCTAATATAATCTAAATGATAGACCTTGAAAAAGTTAGAATGTATATCGTTATGTATTTTGATAAATTTTTGGAAGAGAAAACTGCATATGGAATTTATACGAAAAAAGACAATGATAATGTTGAAACATAAAGAGAAATTATAATAATAAGTATATAGTAAAGAGTATAAGTATAAGTATAAGAGTAAATTATAAAAATTATTTAACAAACATACATTCGAATCCGAGATTCAATCAGAACTATGTTTTAATAATGAAACAACAATATAAAAATAATGTATAATCTACAAAAATAGATATTAATTATTTAGATATTTTATTTTGACATTTTTTTATAAGAAAAACAATCACATATTTAAAAAAAATTTAGTTCGTCCCAGAATATGCCTCTTTATATTAACAATTTATTTCATTAGCTATCCTGTATACAAGTTTCTAAGAAGAATCCCTGCTCTTAAATTTTAAGTGAATTTAATTAAGTGGAATAAAGCACTTCTTCTTACAATATTTCCTCTTACTGATAATCCTATAAATTTCTTCGATCTCAATCTCAAGAAAGAAACTAATCGGACAATGTGATAAAACAGTAATAATATGAAGTCACGCGATATCTGGTTTTCGAGTTTTCTTTTGTGTACTTTGTAAACAAGAAAAACATGCATTTCTCGATATCCGTGGATATACCTAACAATAAATGCAACTCCGATATAACATTTACTCAGAAAATTATTTATATTAATCATATAACTCTCCGATTTTAAATGAAATAAATATATCTTTCTTATGTTCCTATTTTTGTTATTCTTGATTTTAAATTTTTAGAACGTATAAATAATAAAGATATAAAATTTATCAAATAGTGGCAAATATGTATTTTTCTAAATAAAAGTTCGCTCAAATTTTTAATTTTTATTTTTATTTCTTTTCTCTAGTTTGTCATTATGAACCATTTTTCTTAGTAGTTATTATGAACCATATTTTTCTTTTTCAGGAATTAGAGCAATAGATATTATAGATTAAGATACTAATAGAGTATTAGATGGAGTATTAGATAGAGTATTAGATAGAGTATTAGATAGAGTAATATTAGATAGAGTAATATTAGATATTGTATCATATTACATTTTAAAGCTTTATATATATTTTATCGCCCGAAAACAATGTGGCTTACGTGACTCGAGACACGCGGAGAAAATTAGAGCGGCTGCATGATACTGATTGACGTCTAATTTGATCACAGACAATTATTTGACTGGTTTGGCTCGACTAGAATCTCACTGATCTTGCTGCGCAAAATATGCGATGATGGTTTCGAGAGCGGGTCAAATCGCGAGAAGATATCCTATCGCGGCATTGAACAGATAACTTGATATACATCTATTGACCTTGAAAGCGCATGTTGTGAATCAATTTGACCCAGTCGTTGCCTGAAATGTAAAATCTATATGTCGATAAAATCAGGAGATTGTATTTTAAATACGATTATTAAATTAAATATGTAATTTATCTTTTTTTAATTAAAGATTATATATTACTTGATTAAGCTGTACTTACGTGACTAAATTGCAATGAAATCTTTAAAATTTTTTTCTTTTTTAAGGCTTGGTTATTTTCTATATTTTATATTGTTTTAATTTATCATTTCTTAAAATTTTACTTTGGAAAATTTTATATTTTTTAAATTAAATTATATTTTTTCAATTCAATTTAATTAAATACTAAGAAAATATTTACTTTTATTTAAGAAATTGAAAATTTTTTTATATAATTAAAACGACAATAATTTCAAATTTTATTTTATAGAAGAAATAGCAGAATATAAAATTTATATGTAGGCAATCAATAATCAAATAATCAATAGATTTGAATAAATTCTACGAAGTTTAACAACAAATTCCTGCCAGTTATCGACGTTTTCGCAATTACGTTTGAGAAATTATTAAAATGATCGGAATAAAACTTGTAAATGTCTCATTAATATTATAATCCGTATCATGCATCCGCACCGTATATATATTTATAGAATAACTCGTGCATTCTGATGATAACTTGGAGTCATGAGGAGCAACAAGATATGCGAGTTTATTTATACTATATTACATATGTTGCCACACATGGTTTCGTAAAAGAAAACAAAACAAGCAAGAAAGCACGATAGAGGGGATGAAGAGAGATGCAACAGTTGTTCAGATCACGAAGGCGGCATGAATCACCGAAAAATTTCCACAAAGTCCGATCGAATATTGGTTTGAGCGAGTGAGCGATGGGTCGATTCACGCGACGCGTAATTTATTTGTCGAGAGATAAGTGAAAAATAATATCTTACGATTGACCTGAAAAATATTCGCACAACCAACTAATCAATCGTTACAGAAGATCTATTTAGAATCCTTGAATATTTATTTTTTCGTAATTAAATGGAAATTGTTTCCTTATTTAAGATCTATTTAGAATCCTTGAATATTTATTTTTTCGTAATTAAATATGGAAATTGTTTCCTTATTTAAAAACTTTTATTTTGATGATTCTTTTCGTAATTATTTTTAATGAGTCGCTACAAAGTTAGCAAGTTGTAAAATGACTCATGACTAAAATGATATTATGAAACATATTCACGATTCTCTCTCTATTGTTTAATTACTTTCTTTTCTCTTATGAATCTCAGAACTTTTTTAATAAAATTGTGAAAGAAGAATTAAATCTAATTTTAATTAAATTGAAATTAAATTTCTATCAAAATTCTAACTTTTCTATTTCTGTTTTAATGGGATAGAATTAATCTAAAGATTTTCTGCAAAGTGTACAGAATTTTTTTCGGCAGTGTATGATTACACAACATCGACGACAAAATTTTAAATAGCGATCGTAAAGCAACGTGTGCAAAAACTCGTTCAAAACGTCAGCTGACAAAGAGGCACGACCCGTTCGATTGACGTAATCCGCGAACAATGACGCGTGTAATCGACTGCGAATTTGAATGTGACGAATTCAGCGGGGGTTCGTAAAATGTGATTTTTGAATCATTTTTCAAGTTTTTCAAGAACAGATAACTCGAAAATCTTAATTTTGTTGCTTTCGAGAACTTCTGCTAACGTATCGTTTTTCTTGATTCCACGTAGAAAATTGTTACACACTATTATTCTTGAATTCGCAGATATTTTTAAACAAACTTCGTACGAACTTTAGAAAGAAAACATTACTTTTTAAAAATAGATTCTTCTTTTAAAGTTAAAAAATTATTTTTTTTTGCACAATTTCTTATGACTTGCTATTAGTGATTTTAAGAATAATCTAATTATTAAATTAGAAATGATAGAACTTGTTTAAAATTTCTATTAAAAGTTTCTTAAAATTAAATAAAAAACAATAATATGTCTAATCATATTGTCTAATCATACATATTTTGTGTATGTGTAACATTCGTCAATATGCGGTGATGATGATGATGTTGTACTAATTTAAATTGAAATGACTCAACCATTTGAAATTTAACATTGTTTCTTATTTATCAAAAGAAACGTGAAAAAAATATTTATAATACTAAGACAATTAACAACATTCCATTATTATGATTACTGTAATTAAACTAATAGCTTGTAAGATAGTAACATTTTCGCTTTACATATAAATATATAAGTAATATAAAAATAAGTAATATAAAGATTTTACTTTATTAATGTAATTACAGTAATTATATGAGGAAATTACACAAAGTTACACTACAAAAACTGTCTAAACGTTTAACTATTTTTTGGAGTAATTGCCAACTCGCATTTTGCATGTGTACATAAAACTCCAATGCGATATGATAAAAATCTATTGTAAACATTCTTTCAATGAACTCTTTTCTAACATGTGTAATCGATAAGTGACACATCGATTGCACTGGATTACATCAGACGATCACATGTTTGATAAATCTCATACCTTTCTTCGACTTTGCCCCGATCTTCAATCGCGATGGCCACGTAATGATAGTATTCGTTCTTTCCATAACCTGTAACAATATGAAATCGATATTAATAATCGATGATTAATAATTGATTATATGATTAATACTATCTATTAAATTTTTTTTTCGAATACATACGCACGTGTACTTAACCTAACTCAACCAAAAGATTGTAAAAAAATTCGAAGCATTTTCAGTTTCTTTTTTTGTAGATAGCTTTTAAAATTACCTTTTAATTGTTTAATTTAATAGACGAATGATTATATATATATCTCTTTATTTTTCTAACAACATTTTAAGTTTTTTATAATATTTAAATAATGAAAATGATAATGATTCATCATTATTTAAAAAGCATTTATGATGTAATTTTGAATTATCTTATTTTTTTGTGTAATTTTAATATTTAATTTTCATAGTTTCTAATTATCAAGAATGTTATACGTTAATTCCTCGGTTTTATATATTTTTATATATAATTTATATGTGTAAAGAGAACATAATTTCTTTCACCTTTATATGTACTTTTGAGATTTTTTAATTTTCCGAGTTATTTCATTTTTATATAATTTTCTCAAGAGGATCTTATTTCATTAATATATATAATCCTCCTAATTCTAAATAAATAGATTTATTTTTAATTGCCAATTAATTGTTATTTATCATAGATAAATATTATTGAATAATCTCCACACATATAGTACGCTATAAAACTAATATATTCTTTAATTAATCGGTTAATGGTAAAAATTATTTAAAAAATCTATATAAATTTAAATTAAAAATTTTAGATATTTTTAAACTCACATAATATACGACGAAATAATTTTTCTTATCTGTTTTCAACCTTTATCTTTATTTTGATCGAATTTTATGCGAAATTTAAAATTACTATATCTAATTCTAGATTTTTTCAAAGATTAGAAAATAAGTTGCGATTAAATTTTTATTTACGAAAAATTTACTCTTTGTCAAAGATTCCGTCGTCTAGCTAAGAACTCTTATTCGTTCTATATACAGTTTCTATCTTTAAACAAGTCCTGATCTCTTTAAATTATTAAACTCTGACACCTTCTTCTTCTAACTTTAGATAAAAGGTAACTATTTTTAAAGTGAATATATATCTGTATATGTATGCACATGCGCGCTCACTCACTTTAGGCAAAGAAAACTCGAATCAGGAACTCACAAAAAAGCAGTTTAAGCTATGAATTTCTAAACATAAAACCATAAAAATCGTGAATTACTTATTCTGTAACTCTAAGTAAAATCAAGGCAAAACTGATTAAAATCTAAAATTAATACTTGAAGTAATTCTTAACTTACTGTTACGAATTGTAAATTGTTATTTATCATAGTTTAATTTACAATATGCTATATATTCACGATATAAGAAGACTAAATTGAACAAGGTTCTCTAAACACGAACTGTGGTCTTCGGCTGCTCACTATGAACTACTTAAAATTTAGTTTGTTCCTACAACTGCAAAAATTTTTACCACGGTCATTTTCTTCTTCGATGTAGGTTGTAGGTAGGTGATTTATGAGGCCTTTTCGAAGAATCAATGTGAAAGTAGAAAAATTAAGGCGGAGGAGCTTTTAAGGTTCTTAAGGTTGTAAAAGAGAAAGATCACGTTTGGTATTAAATGGTTTTAAAACTTAAAGAAAATAGAATAGCATTTTCATTTTCTAAATAGAGAAAGGAATGAATCACTGTCACGATAACAATAACTTCGTCATTTGTTGACTGCAACAAACACTGAGATGATTCTATCACGAATAGATCGAAGCATAAATTTACTTTCACCGCTGATCACGGAAGATTCCGGAAGATCTCGTTTAATCTTGTTTCGAGATTCACCTCGCCGTAAAAATAATTCTCGCCGCGAATTTTTCGATCTCACATTTAATCTCTGATAATGCAAGGAAAGAGGATAATTTCTAATCGTGAACTGTTTCGAACTACTTGGGCACTGTGTCGAAGGCCACTGATTAATTTTCAATTTTGATCGTGATTATCAGTTGCGAATCCTTGTATCACTGTGCTCCACTTAACTATCACTCGATGCATCTGAATCACCTTTTAAAACATCACAATAAATAAACTTACAGTTTCAAATCATTCGTTTATTTCTTCTTCTCTCGAACTTATTTATAACATCAATTCAAGGTTGCACGTGAATAATTGAAGTTTTTGAGAAAATTTGAAAATTAAAATTTGTAAGATTATACCACGAGATCACCGACGCGAAGAAGACTGACTGACTAGCGAGATAATATAATGGTCGTTCTGGTCGACTCCATCTCCCACTACTTCTCGCTTACCCCACCTTCAATCACGACTCCACTTCTCCACACCACTTACTTCGTGTCGTTTACTCTTCTCGTCATTGTGATCCTGCTTTTCTTTTTTCTTTCATCAAATTTTCCCTTCCCTTTTTTCTCTCTCTTTCTAAGCCCTTTCTCTTTCTGAGCATTGCATTAAAATAATATTATGTCGCTCAACGTATACTTAAATTAAAGGACGTATATTTTCACATTCATTCAAGTCGCTTTAATTAATGATAATCTAGATATGACTTCAAAATTTCTAATCGTTTCGAGCTGTTGTGTTTTCGAATTTCCATCTTTTCATTTTTAAGATTTATATTTTAATGATTAGAAATTTCATTATATATTATATATTATTTCATCATATGTTCGTCAAACGATTAATGATGTTTATTAATTTAAACTTAGCATTAAGCCACGATCAAAATATTACAATATTTTTTGTATTTCGATAAATTTTTGCCCAAAAATTATAAGAACGGAGTACTTTTTTTAAAATTAATCTGGAATAAATAATTGCAATATTTTTCTTTACGACTATGTAAGCTTATATAAGCACATTAACATAGTAAACATGTCGACCACTGAATATCCATAAATTCTGTGGAATAACATAAATGAATCATATACCGTTCGTGTCATTGGTTGAGACGCTCGCATGTTATATGTGTATTTATATCATTTGGTACGCGATAACTTTTAAAATTTATTACGACGCGCGCGAGAATATAAAATCATTAAAATATCCTGATTTTCAATTTTTTTGCTTTACATTATTAAATTTATACATTATTTTATATAAATTTATACATTATTTATTCATTATTGAAGTACTTTTTATGAGGCTTGAAATCATTTCTTAATTTTACATAAACTATAAAATATTTTGTAAAATATTCATTTTTCGATTATCTTACCTTAATACTTTTATGTACAAAATAATGAGAGGAATCAATTGGTGTAAAGAAAACATACAGTTGTTTTTAAGAAAAAATATGGAATTGTTATACAAATTACATTAATATTGTATTATTTGAGAAAAGATAATATATCAAATTTAATTTCACGGTATTGTCACTTTAAAATTTGTATCTGTTAGAGGCATTATTCATTTTAGAGCCTAATCCTTTCAATTTATTATCCATTTTGTTTTCATAATGTAAAAAAAATTTCTATTTATAAAATTGAAAGTTTTAGAAAGATATTTTCTAAAAAGAAACTTTTCTTTTAATAAGAAAAGTCTTTGAAAAGAATTTTGTCATTATTCTTTTAGGGATCGTTAGATACACTGGTAGATATTTGTACGCTTTCATAAAGCAATGCTTTACCTGACAAAGGGGGCAATATTTACAGTATATATGTATATACAGGATGTCTCTGAATTCAATGCCAAATTCAATACAACGGCTTCAGGACAAACATATGTCCGAATTCGAACAATTTTGGAGTTATAAGGTAATAAAGATGTTTTTTTAAGATAATATAAATTGAAATAAATGTTGTTTAATGTTCTTTAAATAATGTTTGTTTAAAGCTTTACAAAAGATGCTCAGAAATTCTTCCGTCGACTTCAATACACTCCAAATATTTTCCAAAATGCTTGAAACAATCTATTAGTTCGTGTTAGAAAGTGTATCTCGAAGTCAACGGAAAAATTTTTACGGACATATATTTATTAATATTTTCGATTATTAACATTTTAACTTTTTTGCATGTCCTAAAGCCTTTGTATCAATTTTGGCACTAAATTCAGAGACACCCTGTATATAAGCATTCCTGTAAATCTCTCTATATTTCTATAAATTCTAAAGAAAACCAGAAAAATTTTACGAACCTGTTTATAGGTTGAGTAAACTTGAAAAACAGCCTGCTTGCAATAAAATCGTATCATTTATATACACAATTGTAGTGAAAAACGACAAAGAGAAAAAAATAGTAAAAATCTTGCAATTATGCGTATATGTGTGAGTTAAAATTTGAAATAACTTATTTGCTCACATACAATTTTCCTGTCAGAAATCTTTCAGGAAACATCTACATGATATAAAATACAAAGAAATTTTTTTTCTATTTTCTTTGTTTAATTTGCTATAATAATAAATTGATCATTATCCCATCATCAAACAAATAACGCTTTGACTAAAATAGTAAATCAATTTTCTTCATATATAAATTTCAACAGTAAAGTATCTGTTTTATTAAAAATTTTTCGCTTTGCTATAAGAAAATCTTATATATTTATTACATTTATCTTTTATATTTTTATCTTTTATATTTATCTTTTATATTTATATCTTTGAAACAAAAGAATTATCTTTTTATTCATATTTTTGTTTTAAATAATGCTTAAATTGTTTTTATCTAAATCTTTATATTTGTCTCATAAATTAGCTTACTTAATCTGTCAATTATATTTTATTTTTACGGCTAGATTTTTTCTACATCGAACACATTCATCATAATATAGAAATCGAAACTTTATATTTATTTGAAAATTCGAAACTCTATACTTTTACATTTTTTATCATTCTCAAAATTAAATATATAAAGAAATCAAATACAAATGTATAAGAATCTTGTTAAATATCCTGGAAATTTAATCTTTATCTTTATCTTTATTTTTATCTTTATATTGATATATAAAGAAATCAAATACAAATGTATCAGAATCTTGTTAAATATCCTAGAAATTTAATCTTTATCTTTATCTTTATCTTTAATTGTATCTTTATCTTTAAATTAAAATTGATAGTAGTAGTAATAATATTAGTATGATAAAGCTATTGTGATTTCTGATGTTACCCAGAATAGGATTGCTCTTTGTGTGTTGTGTGTGTGTTTTGTGTCTTAATTAATTCAAAATTAAATCTTGTAAAAAAATATAATTTTGTTCTGACATAAGATTATATCAATATAATTACCAATGCTAATTTAATTAATAATCTTAATTAATAATCTCTCGGTATCTTGAAATTTTTATTTTTATATTTTTTCTTCTTTATTGTTATTTACGATTTGGCTTTTATTTCACAAAATATTTTTTTTCTAATATTAGAAAAATGTTAATATTAAAAAAGTATTTTTGTATTAAAATTATGCAGATATTGTTTGTTTGCTATTGTCACATCTGTATTGTTATAGCATGGTTATGGATAAAGATCATTTATTTTTTCCCTTGAGGATTGAAGGCACTTTTGAAAGGAACGGACCCGAACCTTTTACAATTTCTTATGGCATGGTTATATTATAGTGCGTGTTTTTTTAAATAAAATAATGAAGATTGAAATTACGCGAGTAAGAGTATATCTTTTTTCCAATAAAATTGCGGAGACTGTGCATCGTTGTAATAAACAAAATTATTGTGAAGACATACGGGACTGTATCAGTTAGCACGAGTCACTGATTAGAGAATAAATATGCGAGGAGCGATTCGATATGAAAATATCGTTCAATCGCATGTACATCGATTGCACAACAAAGTTAACGAATGAAAGAAGATTGATGAAGAGATGTAAATAATTTATTGATTCACTCTTTATATAACTTTTATACTATTTCATTAATCACTCAATTGATGACAATCCTATAATTAACCTTGATACTACATAAATAACAAATTTACACAATATTGTAAAATTGAAAAATTCTAGAAAATTAAGATAAATTCACAAAAACTTATTTTCTTAAATTTTCAAGCTGACATCACAACTTTTTTAATGTGCTATATTAATCGATGCAAATTTGGTGCATTTAAGATTTACTTGATATATATATATATATATTCGCAATATATATTCGCAATAAGAAAAGTTGCTGATCTTACTTAAATGATAAAGATTGAATCTATCAGTGATACGCGGTTAGAGTATTAATAGTATGTTATTGCCGCACAAAATATTTACTTATTCTGTATCACATTTTAAAATTGACATACGTAAGAGTCTTCATATCACAAACTTTCACCGTTTAATTGCTAAAAAAAATACTAGATTAGATTAAAGTATACATATATATTCACTTGCGTAATAGGTAAGATATTTTGTTAAAACAAGATAATATTTATTGCATACATAAGAATTGAGAAAATTATAGAATTTTCGAAATTTTTTTTCTTTTTCTAATATTAATAAAATATATTGATAGATTCTATATTAATAGATACTATATTAATAGATTCTATATTAATAGATGCTATATTAATAGATGCTATATTAATAGATTCTATATTAATAGAAATATTGTTTATAGAGACGCGATATCGTAATACATTGATAAATAACCGGTATTTTGATGCAATCTGATCTTGATAAATTAATTTCTGGCCTAAAATATTTACGAATGCTTTCCGGTCACGTGTCATCCGTTATCACACATTATTATTACTGCGAATCATTTTAATCGCGTATGTTGCTGCAGATTGCGCATATATAACTTCAGCAAATTGCAACTCTAATTTGACAAGTTAATATCGAAGAACTGCTGGACTAAAGATTGCGAATTATATAATATTTCATGCGTATGTTTGTGCAATATTAGATTTTGCGAAAATACACATAGATAAAAAATGTGTGAAATGCATGTTTAAATTATTATTTAATCGATAGGATGAATGAACGAATGTGCAGCTGATAAGTAAATTGCGCAAGCTATGTAACATTAGTTACGTATTGATCAAATATTCCACGAATTTCATGCAGAAGAATATACAAAATATTTGGATTTTCTTGTGCGTTATTTTTATCTTTAATTTTAAGCATTTTTTGAATCAT